GAAGAAGAAGAAGAAGAAGAAGAAGAAGAAGAAGAAGAAGAAGAAGAAGAAGAAGAAGAAGAAGAAGAAGAAGAAGAAGAAGAAGAAGAAGAAGAAGAAGAAGAAGAAGAAGAAGCTTCCCCCGCTGGACCTCCCTCCCTGCTCCTGCCTGTCCTCAGGTTCTCCCTCCACGGACCTCCCCTTCCATCAGAGCTTCCCTTTGCCAGGTGGCAAATAGATCTTCTTCAGGGACAGCATTATGGGTTTTCCAGCTCTTCCCAGAACATTTAAGGGAATTTTCCTCGGACTCCTGAGCTGCTGATATTTGCTCCTCTGAAGGCGGTGCATTGAGGCCAAAGAGTTTACCTCCCAGAGGACAGGAATATATTGAGTTTTGCAGGAAGTGGAATAAGAGCTGCACAGTTCCTTCTTCCTTTATGGCCCATGTTCTAAATGCTGTTTGTGGGGAAGGGTCTCGTGGGGGCCCTGACTGCAATTCTCAGAGAGCCTTTCTCCCATCCACACCAGCTCAGTCAACCCAGAAGGACCCAGGGGTGGGTGTTGGAGGGTGTGTTTGTTTCACTTACATATCAGGAAGAGAATCGCAGCTATTGGGAGTAAGCCTGCTACAATTACCACAGGAATCAGCCACCCTGGAGATAAAGAAGGAGAAAGATGGTTCCGATCATTAGACAGATCCAGAGTTCCCTGAAATGGAGATGCTGAAGAGTGGAAGCCTTTCCCGACCTTCCTTGACCTCCAGGAAGTGCCCCCACCTGAAGGAAGCCCCTCCCCTCCAAGGCTGCAGAGGGAGGAGGGAATGGCCTTGAAGGGAAGAAGGAGGAGCCACAACCAAACATCTCACATATCTTCATACTGTTGCTATAAAATTACCATTTCCAACTCTTCTGACAGAAACCACTTCTCTCCCATTTCTAAATGCAGGACCTTTCCTGCTCTCCATCTGAAAACATGAGATGTTGCAGAAGAAAACTACCCCCCCACACACAGATTTTCAAACATTTCTCTACTTCTACTCTCTCAGCCTCTCACCTCTTTCCTCCTTGAAAGCCAAGTCCAGGGGCTCCTGCAAGCCCTTATGCTCCAGGTGACACCGAAAACGGTCCCTCTCCATGGGGTCGATCTCAATGCTGAGCCAGAGATAATAGGTCCCGTCTGAGTTGGGGGCCACTTTCCTATGGATGGTCTCCTGTTCCCAGATCTCTCCGTCCCTCCTCCAGGTGGCCTGGATCTCCTTGGGGTAGAAGCCAAAGGCCTGACAGGTGAGGACCTCCAGCCTCTCATTCACCGCTTTGTAATTCACCTTCCCCACTGGGGGCTCTGCAGAAACAGCCAAAAGGGGATTCCTGGGATTTTGAGAGTTTCTGGCCGGGCAATTGAAGTACCAAGACCTCACCTGGCCATCCTCCCCCATGACTCTCTTTCAGCCTGTGGGAGCCCCCAAAAGGGGCCTTCGGAGCTCTTTAGGTTTATTTTTCAACAGGATGCCTAGAATTTGGG